GAAATTAGGACTCATTAATATTTATTGATTAATGAAGTTCGAGGAAGAATTAAATGTTATCCATCAAGAATACATCGTATTGTCACGATCATTTCATGAAGAGAGGTACCGGTAAGAACATTTTATTCCAACTTTATTGTCATCAGTATTCATAAAGTTTCCATGAAGTGATCTCAATTTCTCGTCATTCATGTTTTTCAATCTTTCACTTATCTGTATCTATGAGTTTGTCTTCCAAGGAGGCCACTATAGAGCCTACATGTACATAAGTCCTTCATCTGACAATAATTGCTGGGAATATTTTAAAAATGAAGAATTTAGATGATTATCGGTATACTCCAAATTCTTTGATACACCATGTTCGAATGGATATCTAAAGATCTTACAGAAAGGTGAATATTTGCCTCATGGCTTTATGATTTCAGAATGCAAGTCCAATGGGCATCAATTGCAAGCATACGTCACAGATACTGAAATGTTGCATTGCCATGGCAACTATGGCCTATAATGAGGTAAAGAGCCATGGATTTTATACTCTCTTTCTTTGCCCTATGAAGAGAATAACAAATTAAAGTTTGATAAATGATAACCTTTGGAAATGAAATGCTTAAAAAACAACCAATGGACATGGTTCTATATCAATCAAGATTGACTACATGTACAGTGTACTAGTTGCTAGGGGCTCGGAGATTAGAAAAGGTTGGATCCATTGTGTATTACTATTTTTAAACATATTGCTGTTAGGAGACGGCAGAAACATTGGAAGAGAAAATTCAGGGTAAGTCTCATGCTGAAGGTGAAATGGAGATGGAATGAAAATGTCATATTTGCCAAGTATGGATTTCATTTTATACAATGAGCTAGGCAGATGATTAACTTTACACACCTACATGTATTTAATGATAATGTTATTTGAGTAATATTTATGCACATTCCTGTGATTCCATTTTCAAGGAAATTAATTGTAATACAAGTGTTTTAGGAAGCATTGTAAAACTACCTCCTTCCTTTGAGCTTGCTTTTCATTTCTAGTTTTCGTGCTTCAGCCTCAGTACTGTATGAGAACCCACAGGGGCCAAACTTAATTGTAATTGTATCATAAATTTGTGCATGCTTGTGCGAAAGTAGAGCAATGTTCGATCAGTAAATTGATATCATCGACAAGTGTTGCGCATGGAAGTTGGTTTCTTGTCAGTGAAAATTGTTTAGGATTGACTTTGACTTTGGTAATGATATACTGTTCATCGTTGAAGTTCTGATGTTATCATTCCTAAGCAGGAGTGTTGAGATAACAAGAAGAATATTTGTTGAGTAAAATATTCTCATAGAATATTCCATTTATTAGATGAATACAGCCTTTAATAAAGTGCATTTTGGAAATGCACTTTATATAGGGGAAGAGTTGATTTAAAAAAAATAGTTACCGTAGATGTTCAATGGTAGGCTTACCTTTTGCCATGAAAATAATGAAACATGATTTGATAGTTGACAATTTGATCATCTATTTGCATGTACATGTATGCAACTTTATGAATATGCATATTTGGCATGTTCTTTACAAGTAAAGGATTCCTTTCACCTTAAGTTATGCCAATACATGACAGTATGTCTTTGGGAATGAATATTCCCAAGGGGAGATATCTAAACTCTGATATCGTCATGTTTGGAGCCAGGAGGTCAAACTGTAAATTGATATTGCTTAACGCCCTTCTAGCTTCAAATAGACGAATTGTTTATATTGCATGATCACAAGGCATTGCCGGTAATTTGTTCTGAACCTTGCATGAAGTCACCCTTCGGTACTTGTTGACACAGTGCCTTTAAATAGAAGTCAAGCCATGTGGGACTGTAGCCGAGACCTAAGCCGAGACCTATAAGCAATGAGTAATAGTCATTCAGGTGGGAGGAGTACAGTGTAGTCAGTGCTGGTATTTTGAGCTGCCGGGCCAGTGAGTCACCCTGCTACATGTAGCTAGGCATCCTTATGAACCCTCTTTCTAAATACTCATATTGGTCTTTCACTCACTCTCTCTTGTCTATTTTTCCCCATCAGTGTCCCTGGTTCTTTATTTAGTCTTCCCCACTCTCACTTAGGCTGTTCACACCGCAATGAGATAGCGCGGTCTATCGTAGCACCCCCTTTTTTCTAGCGCGCGCTAGACCGCGCTATCTCTCGTGGACCACCCCCAAGAGGTGCTCCAGTGGCACGCCGTCTTGGCTCGCCGTGGCACGCTGTTAGGCAGACCGAAACGACGTTGTACCTTCCAAACCGCAGAGATAGCGCGGTCTAGCGCGCGCTATCTCTGCCGGTGTGAATACTCTCACTCACTGCCTTACATTGTTTGCCCATAGATTCATTATCTCCTGTCTACTGATCTTTTCTCTCTTTTACAAAATGACAAGAATGAATCGCAAATTACAAGTACAGCTCGCTTTCAATAAATGCATCATTTTGTACATGCAGTTGTGCAATTAATGCGAAAACTTTGTTTCCTCAACGTCTTCACACGTATTGAAAAGGACGCGATGCTGACTCATCAGTTTCATTTTGTGCTTAGTGTCTTTTCTTGATTAACGGCAATGCATTCACAATCAAATTTCTTTGATTCTGTCATTTCTGAATCATAAAACTCCCTGATTTAGACAGGGGAAGAATAGATATTGTTTAATTCATGTTCTTATGTGTGGGAAACTGTGGGAAAATAACTCCTTTACATAAAACTGTAGCTCAGAAAATATACCTGTAGTATCAATCGCCACGATGTTCAGTTTGCAATACAATTGTTGCATTCTGTCGATATTTTTAATCTTTTTATTTTTTATATTTTTAAAGATACTATGTCCCTTTTGCAGCCAACATCAAATTCTGTAGAACTTTGGAAGAATTTTGAATTTGTCATGTATGTCCTATCTGTGAAATTTAAATGTTAGCAGTATCCTAATATTCAAATCAGGCACAGCGGAGCACCCCAATTACCGTGCGATCGACTCTCGTCCAGTAAACATCATTTACATAAAATCAACAATTGTGTACCGATCGATGCGAAAAAAAGTAAACAAATTTCGAAGACAAATTCTTAATTAATGTGATGAATATCAGCAATCAAAGCTAGTAAATCGAGTATTTAATAAATTTGCAAGACACTCATGTGTATAAAAAGAGTTATTGATGCACCGAAAATGTGAAATTTAAGGGATAGTTTTGACGAACAAAAACGGAAAAAATGAGATACAAAATCACCGTAAAATTCACCATCTTTTTTAGAGCGAGAAAGAATTGCCTCATATGAACAGAAAGAAAATTTAATAATCTCAATCCTTCTGAAATATCTCTTTCTATAGTTGCTTGATAGGGTCGTGTCAGAGCAAAACATACCCCAATGTCCGAATCTCATCGAACAAAAACAATCCTTCGTTGTCGCAAAATTGTATGACCAGTCCCATACATTCAAATGTGTGTCATGTCTGAACCTCGCGTGTGCGTTGGCTATACATGTCTGGTCAGCCGACTGCACACGTGCACGCTAATGGCTCAGCTGTTTCGATCTGGCCTGCACTGGGCCCTAAGACGCATGCGCAGTACATTTGCTGAGATCGATGACGTCATGTTTAATGAGTTCGCTGACTACAACTTTTACAAATGAAGCCCCATGAAAAAGAATGTTATAACTATAAAAAAATACAGCGGAGAAGCGAAAACTTCGCCCATGTATGGATTCAACACTCATGAATATTCATACCAAGTCTCTACTTCGTGCATTGCTTGATAGGGTCAAGTCACAACAAAATATACGTCGTGTTTATCGAGGGGTGAAGCTCAAAACACATTAATATCTCGAGTTTTATTCCATGAAATTTCATATTTATTTCATTGATGTCAAGTTCATAATAATTGTAGTTAGTATGGAAAGTTTCATAGCGATATTGGCAGTAATAAAGGCGCAACACAAATTTTAAGATTTGACATTCTAGCAAAACACATGTTTCGATTCACGCAGATGTCCGTTGGTTATTCAAATAGAACGGGCCGCTAATGATATGCAAATTGGGGTGCTCCGCTGTGCCTGAAATTATACAAGGAAACCCGTGTACTTGCTAGACTTCACTGTCAGACACTATTGAGTGAGTGACTGGCTTTTTTTCTTCTTTGGTAATAACATACATAAAATGAGTTATTAGCATTTGCCTACATTAATAACCCACTTCTTGTAATGGCCAAAATTAAACTGATTGAATCTTTGCGCAGCATAAAACGTATGACCATTCCGTACAATGGTCTGAAAAATCAGACTATTACTTAGTGGCTCTATAGCTCTTAAGTCGATTCTACAACTAATAGTCGTTATTTTCCCACTTAAAGACATTTTCAAGCCCCCCCCCCTTTTTTTTTAGGGAAATTCTAAATTAATATTATCTTTCAAATGCCGTTGGAATTTAACCTTTTCATTTTTTGGGCCTGCAAATGGGACATAGTACCTTAAGGCTTTCCAGTACATTCTTAAATTTTCTTATATTTGGCCTGCATGTATTGATAATTTTTTTATAGAATTACAGCATTATTTAAAAATAGTATGCTTTAAAAGAACTTTTCAAGGAACCAAGGTCATTGAAACTTTGGTAGCTATGACTGTGCTATCTCGTACGTATACCACCGAAACACAATAGAGTCTGGGTATACCTTGCTCACTCAACCAACGGGTTCCATTGTCGTAAGTTGGTTAAAGATTGACGTAGATCTGCATACCTCATGCCCATATATGGCAGAGGGGCTCAACCAGTCTCCCACAAGTTGTATACAAACAATGAATAACATGTATCGGGGACTGGGCAAAGGTGTTCCATTTTCCAATGTACTAATTCCGGTTGACCCGTACACTTTGTGTATACAGCATGGCACGTGTATGCACTTGATTGTTTAGTTTATGATTGTTTGGGAGGAAGGATCCGTGATGATCAATAATTTTTTCAGGATTTCTATTTTAGGAACTCCCTGTAAGCTAGCTGGCTTCATGAATCATAATAAGACCAGAGTTTGATAGATCTCAGCAGTTATAACTAGTTGTTACTTACAGGTAGTGACAGAATAAGAACAGGAAAATCTTTTGAAGGCATTGGAAGTTATTTTACGGGAATAAACCAGTACAGATTGAGCCACTTTTGGATAGGTAACTGCATTAAAAAGGTATTTATGTGTACGGTAATATAGTTATATCCTACTAATATATTTGCCATATTGTTTTATAATCATTTAAATTTGAAGATGAGTTTCAATTTTTTTGTGAAGCTACATGTACATGTACATGCTACTTTCATTCCTCATTATAACTAGCCTGGATACAATTTGCAGGTTATGTCGATACAATGTTTTTTTTTTTTAGAGAAGTGAAAGAATTGAATATAATTCTATCTTACTCTTTTTGCTTTAACTGTCTCTCCTTGTCATATGCAACATGTAGGTCAAAGTGATTAGCCAAATTGTCTAATTTTCATAATTTTGACCACAGTGAACATTACAACAACAACAACTGCAATAATAACAACGATATAAACAACAACAACACTATTCAATGTCTGTTATCATACATGTACAATGTATATCCCAAACATCTTCCTGACATAAAGGCCTGCATGTATGCATGGTCAGCTGCTGACATTATCAGTAATAAATCTGGTTTATGTTTTTAGAGATATACATGTGTATCTGATAAACTGTCCCTTGGGTGTACTGTGTTTTTGATTACTGATATAGATCATATCGTAAACTACTTGGATGCAGATGTATGGGAGGCCTCAATGATGAACACTTTTGTAGTGCTTACAAAACTTCTCTTTCTCTCTTTGCATGATACAATATGCAAATTACTTGAATTAATTGAGTCACTTTGTACAACTAATGGTTTGTATGAATACAAGTCTTAACCAGAGTGCATGTATGCTTTTAAATGTTCTACATGTAAATGTTCATTTCCTTAAATAAACAAAACAAGGAAATGTGGAGTTTTGCACATAATTAAGGATATAGTGATCGTCTTAGTTTGATACATTTAGTCCATGTTTCAAAAGAATACACACATGTACATGTACAAGTCATGTGCAATGTAGGAAAGAGCAAAATTCATGTATTCCAAAGCCAATGTCACAAGTGACATTTTATGGATAAACTGCTTGCTTAGTATCCGGTGAAGTGTGAAGCTGTCTAGAGCCATGCAGACAATTTGAATTCTGTTCAAGCATAATAATTACCGGTGTATATGAAGTAAAGCTTTCTCTCCCTCTTGACTATTGTATAAATACAAGTTAAGATTATTCAATTTCCTCTTCTACAATTTAAGAAGTTCAGTCACATTTGATATTATAGTGAATCCTACCCTTCTATTTTCATGCATTGATCTCTTCCATTTCTCTTACATTTGCTTTTCACTTTTTGTTTATAAAATTGCCAATAATATTTTATACCCCACTTTCTATATTCTCTGGTCAGTCAGCAAACTCTTGCAGCCATGTCTGCCTCTCCATATTTTGTCCTAAAGGTAAAGACCAGTTATGGTCATGCGATTGCATTGTGAAAGAAACGTTGTGGAATCGATCAGAAAAGGTTGATCATCTAGCATCTAGCATCTGCAAGGTTCTGGAATCATCAAAATGATAAGAAATTTGGCCCATTCTTCGTAAAGTTACAAGCACTATACACAGAAAGATGTATATGGGACTACCCTATATCTCTCACAGACCATGAGAGAAACAAATTTACCAAATATATGAATTAGTAGGCGGTTTCCCGGCAAATTTTGTATCATCATGTATTAGTCAAAACATATTCTTTCACATGATTGGTAATGAGAGCTTCCATTTCATTTTTTGAAATTGGGGCGTTTCCAATACTGGTCTTTACCTTTAAATGTTATCCTTCTCTTACCTCTCTTATTCTCCTCATCTCTGTGCATTGATCAACCCCTTATGCTTCCATGTACAGTCTCTCATCAGTCTCTCATTTTATCTCTTTACTTTCATCTTACTCTGTCTCCCAGCTTTCATCCTCTCCTCCCAGTTTTCTTTTTTCAGCCACCAACCCTCATTTTATTTCCTAAAACTATCTCATGCTCTTGTCTCTATTTCTACCCCCCTCTTTCCCCCAACGTCCAAGTTCCATCATCATCCGTCCATTTTCTCTTCTCCCATCAGCTCATCAATAATTCCAATTTAGCCACTCCCTATTTCTCCCTCTTTTCTCTCTGTCTGTCACTTCTCTTTCTTTTCTCTCTATTTCTTCTTTTCTCTGTTCACTCATCTACCCCTTTTCGCCCCAACCATCCATCTCTCCTGCTGTCTCTTTATTTCTATCCCCCATACCTTTCCATGGTAATGGCAATAAGTAGCCATGTTCACATTTTAGGAATCTTTTTGGAAAATGGAACTACCCCTGTAAATATTCATATAAAACAATTTACCAGGAATATATAACTGTTGAAAAATGGCGAAAATGATCCAGATCATCAGTTTCAGAAGTGGTATTTTACATTAGTTGAGTGAAAAAAGTTTTTCTGCTACTTTTTTTGGAGGATTGATGATATACTTGTACATTTATCTAATGGATTAATATGCCTTTTAAATGAAAAAGACTTCTAGAAGGTTTTCCATTATGCTAGGACATCTGCCGTACACTTTCTAGAAGAAACCTGATCAATCAGGTGAACAGGTCTACATTGCTGCCACAGGCCCTGGAAAAAATAAAGAGCAAATCCAATCATTTACTTCAGCCTTGCGAGACTTGTTCAGCGTGTCCCAAAAGGTAAATTACCTTGTCCCTCATGGTCACAATTAAATCATGGGATAAATTATTCACAAGCTTCTGCCTTTAGTTTACAGCTTAGTTGAAGATCACAGAAAGCAGTGAATGACGTCTTCATCCAATGAATGTATTCTTCCCTCGAGTGCAATTTCTTTTAAGTCTTGTTTGATAGTGGGATTGAGTGTGAGTTACAGCTGTACAGTGCAAGTCATTTTTCAATAATTGACAATGTAAATGATATCCCTGTATTGGTCAAAACACCCCCCACCCCTTCTTATTCTTATGGAGAAAGTCATATTTTCATTAGAATTATCTTCATACATGTTTGAACAAAAAGTTGTAACTGAGATTTAAAACATTAGGATAAAGATTCACTGTAAGACAGGCATGTTCCCCTTGGGAGATTTTTAAATATTATTTTATCAGTAAAGAAAAATAATAGTAACAGTAATAGAATACTTATCATCTTCCTGTTTCATTAACGTTACGAGTTACCAGCTCTGCAGTTCCTCTGTTCTAACTCTGGATACGTTCAATTAAAAAGATTGATGGCCAACATCTATTCTACCGTTCCGGATAAGTGGTCTGTAGTCGGCTTTAGGAAAGTAATTATATTTATATGGAGATATCTCTTTCATACCTGCCTGCTGTCTGTGTATTAAGCACGTGTGATTAATGCGAGTTGGAACGGTTTGTTGATGTGAAAGTGTCGTTTCCATACCTGAACTGAATTGGCAATCAGTCATGCAGGTGGGCTGCCAAAGACCTTTCCATGTTAGGTGATCAATCAGTCCAGGATCATGTTCCTATTAGGAGAAAATGACAGTTCTTTGAAGCCTGAATTATTCCGAGACTATTCCCAATAAACGATATACATGTACAGTCATAAGCTGGGAACTTGGACTCATGTGTATTTGAGGATTTTCCAAATATTGACCCCCCAAAATGTGAGTGAAGTGAAGTTTGAAAATCCTACATATTGTTTTGACCTCTAAATTACTGAATTCTATTTGAACAAAACATTATTATCATTATTACTGTTGTTGTTGCTGTTGTTTTTATTATTAATATTGTTATTATTATAATTATTTGTATTGCTATAACTAAAAATTGCTTTCTTTAAAAAATATTTAAAAAACCTTTCATATTTGACGCTTGTGTTTTGACAAGCATTCATGGAAATAATCTTCTCTGCTGTCTGCAAAGTTTTTTTTCTCGTAACTTTCCTTATTTTTCTTCTCCATTTGGATGCAATTTCATTAGAATGTATATACCTTGCTGGACCTCAATGCTTGTTTGAATCAATTGAATGAAAATGCAAGTACACGCTAAGACATTTCTTCGATAAAGTTTGTCAATTACAAGTAAATTTTTCATTTCCTTCTTCCCAATTTCACCAGTAATGCAGACATCATTGCTCACTGCTGAATGATTTCATGTGAACCAAATGGCAAATTCTTCATCTTTCATTGAAAAAACAAAGAAGAGAATTTCAGAAGCTCTGACGAGCAGAAGTAATATCTCTTTAGAGGAGAGGATTTTATATTGATTATTAGGAGACGGCTCGCTCGGGTTTAGATGTTTTCTGAGAGCATAAATATTGCAGATGTGGCATTTCTTCGTATTTAATGAGGCAGAAGGAACGAGCAGGAGGAAAGGGCAGCAGTTGCTAAGGAGCCTTTACAACCTCTCATTCGTCTGGGGGGAAAAGAAAATGGATATGGGAGAGAGGAATCTTTAGCATCACTGTGCAGAGTGTACTTGAAATGTGACAAGAGAACGCCAAATTCAAAGAGATATATTTGTTGATGTATTTGCAGGTTGGAAATGAAAATGGTGAATGTGCCTGAATCCGCATGTACAAGTATAATCCATCATACGTCTTTGAAAATGGAATGTTTCAAGCAATATTTTCTGTGCATAGAAAATGACTGTACCTCCTTCATTTTTTTGTTGTTTGTTTTTGAGATTCATTTTTCATGAATTTCTTTCTTTGGAGCTTCATCCCTTGTTCCAAGTTTTATTGCTATTTATACACTTTTGATTGAATTTCTTTTTATTATTTATCACTAAAATGTCAAAAGTGGAAAGTCAGATTCTATTGTACACCAATGAATTTGACAGAAACCAAGCCAATTTTTTTCTTGCAGGCATACAGGATTATAGAGAAACATTGTCAAAGATGTTGACCTTTCGTTATAAATCATGTACAGTTTTAAGCTGCTAATAAGTGGCATGCATCTAGAACAAGCCATTAGTACCTTAAATTCTCATTTGATAAATGGGTTGCGTTGCACTTGCACTGTGTTCACAGAAGGAAGAAAAATCTTCCATTTCATTGTAGGGCCTATATGAATTGGAAAGTGTCCACTTTATTTTTCAAGTGCACTATT